AAAAAAAAAAAAAAGAGCCTAGCCAGAGTTTGGACTTTTTGTTTTTTAAACTTTCTTTTGTAGTCGTATGGAGCCACGGTAGGTTTTAGAGGAGGTTAGTGATGTAATTGAACCTATGCCTTAGGAAGTTCACCAGGGCAAAGGTGTGAAGGATGAATGAGATCAGGTGAGGCTGGAGGACGAGAAGCCAGTCACGAGCCATTGTAGCCACTGCAGCGACCCCTGGATCAAGCGTGAGTCCCCAGCTGGTGCTGAGTCGCCAGGTGAGAGGCTGTCAGAATCCGGCTCTTCACGGTCTCGAAGTGTCACCCTCAGATTATGCACCGAGTACGAAAGAAAGGCACCCTTAGGTGGGGAGGTCTGGCAGGCATCACCTTAGCCAAGTGGCCACTCAGTCTGCCAGGGTAGGACAAGCTGGCACCAGACGCCCCTGTGTGAGGCTTGGGGGAGGCCAAGGCATTCTTCCCTTACAAGTATTCCTGCTAGAAATTCATCGCCGGCACCTAACCCTGATGAAATGTCAGACAGATCCCAACAGGGATCCTCTGCAAACTCTCCGAGTGGACTCTCATGGGAGACAGAAAGGAGCTGGGAGCTGCTCTTGGCTGAAAGAGGCTCCAGAGACTGGGAGGCGATGCTGTGTGTCAGCCAACCGGCTCCTGGACAGGAGCAAACATGGCATCCATGGTGGACGCAGCTGGACAGCCATGAGTCTGAACATGGGCTGTGTGTTAGTTAGTGGCGTCGTATCCATGTTCTGTTTCCCAAGGGTGACAATGGCATTGAGGGGGAGGAGAATGTCCCGTTCCTAGGAGATGCGTGCAGAAGGCGAGGTGGACTGTCATAGCTTCTGCTAACTCACATGGGTCAGCCAGGTAGACAGATGATTGATAGGCTGGTAGATAGATAGATGGAGGGGAGAGGATGGATAGATGGATGGGTCATAGGTAGTAGATAGATGGAGGGGAGAGGATGGATAGATGGATGGGTCATAGGTAGTAGATAGATGGAGGGGAGAGAGAAAAAAATAGAAGAGAGATAGATGACAGATAGACGATAAGTAGATGATAGATGGTAAATGGGTGACAGGTGACAGATAGGTAGATGGTAGATGGGTGATAGGTGACAGATAGGTCGATGGTGAATAGATGGTAGACGGGTGATAGGTGACAGATAGGTAGATGGTGAATAGATGGTAGACGACTGATAAAGCAAATGGGGAAGGACAACTATGCATGTGGTCATTTGTATCACATTCGTGTCACCTTTCTGTGGCCCAGGTGAGAGATGGCAAACCTTGAATTAGGGCTGTGGTTATAGGGTAAGGTGAGGACAGAGGACGAGTGAGACTTAGGAGGTGGAGAGAAAACAGATGGCATAATGGTTACGTCGCTGAACTCCCATGTAGTTGACCACAGTTTGAGTCCAGACTCGGCGGCTTAACCTTATGCTGGTCGTGTGTGTGTGTGTGTGTGTGTGTGTGTGTGTGTGCATGTGCCCAAAATCCCAAGAGGAGAATGGAGAACTAGGGATTGCGGTGTGGCCATCCTGGGGGTGATTTCTCACTTTCTGTCTCTCTGTCTCTCCAGTGAGCACATGCACCCTATAGCAAAAATCTATTCAAAACAAGACAACAACTTAGGAAGTGGATATGATGGGACTCAGGCAAGAGTCTGTGACACACGGTCGCAGCTCCAGGCCTGGGTGTCTATGTGGATGGCGGTGCCCTTCGGTGAGAGCTGAGGACCGGGGAAGGACACACACAGGGCTGGCCATGCTGGGTCTGAGAGCCCTGAGGAGACACTTGGAGGCTGTGACACTCAGCACAGGGTCAGGCAGGGATGCAGCTGTGGCGCCTGCCACACAGAGGCCACGTCCCCTTGGGCCTCAGCAAGCAGTCGGTTATCTCTAGCCGGTGGTGGCCGAGCAGATGTGGAAGTGAGAACAGCAGCGCTTCCCTCTCTGGATGTTCTGGGGTGGCGCTAGATAGGTGCCTCGCATGGCTCCATTCCTGGGCTCCTGACCCCTTCTCTCCGGTTTGCCTTCAGCCCACTCCTCCCCGCTCTCTTTGCTGACCTCTGAAAGTCGGATGTTCAGAGCCACTCGGGTACTCAGCCGCTGGGCTCTCAGTCCTGCCCAGAGGAAGCCACGACCCCTGAGTCCGCGCCGTGGCCCGGGGTGCTCCCCTGGACTCGGGTGCAACTGTCCGAGCTATCTCTCTGCTGGGGTGTAGTACAGCACCTCGACCTCTCCCTGCATTCTCCTCCCCTCGTTGAACGAGCAGCCATGGAGCGCCTTCTGTGTGCCAGCCGTGAACAGGGCAGAAACCCGTCAGCGGCAGCTATTTTTTGCTATAGGGTTGCATGTGCTCAGAGGGGGCTGTGAGGGCGAGAGACTGGTGGACAGGGAGGGCCTGTCTAGCAGCTTGGGGTCCAAGTGGCCAGAGGCGTGGGCAGTGCAGAGGTTGCAAGGAATGTGCAGAGGTGGTGGGTGCGAGGAGCAGAAGGCAGGGTGCTGGGGCAGGTGGACATGGGGCCGTGAGAGGAGGCCCGCACAGAGAGATGGCGGCAGCCAGGAACTCGCTTCTCCTCCCAAACCTGCATCTATGTCACCGTCTGTCCTGCAGCTTGGACCCCCCAAATTTTAAAATTATTTTATCTTCTTCCATGAGAGACAGAGACAGAGGGAGAAAGAAAGAGACAGAGAGAACTCCCACCAGTGTCTTCACAGTGTGATCTCCCCAACTCCCGCCAGCCCGGACCACAGGGCACGCGTGCACCTGCCGTGTACAGGGAGGCCTCGGGACACAAACCTAGGACCCTCCCGGAGGGCCCCAGCGTCTCAGCACCATGTTACCCTGGTTCTCCTTCCTCACCTCTCTCCCCGCGTCATCCCAGCTCCTGTCAGCACTCTCTCCAACACACCCCACATCTGTGCCCTTGCCATCTCCATGACACCAGGGCCCCTCACAGCCTCCCTCAGGTCTTTCTGCTCTGCCCCCTTCGCCCACTCTCCCCCCAGTAGCAGGAGCCATCTTTGTCAAACCTTAGTCAGAGCTCGTCACCTCCGCTCTGCCCCCCAGCACCGGGAGGAGGACGTGAGGAAAGGAGTCACGTGAGGACCCACGCGCCTCCCGGGAAGGAGGGTGAGTGGTCTGAGGGCCAGGTGGGATTTCCTATAAAGTAGGTACCTGCTTTCTTGCTCTTGAACACACTGTGGGAGAGGAGCCTCACTGTGTGACCTGTTTAATCAATGGCGGCCACCACTGTCCACCTGCTGGCGAGTTCCTAAATTGCAGGCAGGGGCCAAGACCCAGCAGGGCCTACCACCTCCCTGATGCTGGGGAGTCCTTGACACCTCTCTCCGGGACCTCCCAGATTGCAGGTAACGCTCCATGGGGTGGACAGTGCAGAGCCCAGCTGGCAGGGGGACAGGACAGCGTGTCAGAGACAGCTGTAGAGGCTGCCCGTGGGCCCTCGCAGGGGCTGCAGCAGTGAAATCAGAGCCTGG